GCCGCTGGACCGAGCCTTCTCCGCCGGAGACATGTTATCTGCATCACTGTCCGACTGTCAGGTACAAAACAGTTCACACACTGTTAGCATGTCAGCAGTATGTACTCGAACTTCATCTGAGCGAAACCTGGATGTTTGGTCAATGGTGCATCAGAATATTGTCCATTGCAGACAACACCTTTTTTGACAAAACAAGGTGAGAATTACAGACAGGATGTCATGATTGCCATCCTTAATACGCGAATATGACCTTAAAAGAGACGTTCAACAAAAAAAAACGTGTTCACACGGTTAACCTCAACTGTTCAGGTAGAACGTAAGGTTCTTGATTACACAACCTACATGGCATTTACCTGGGCAAAGTTTTGGTAACTTTTCAGGACCATTTAGTAAATGGCCTCCTTGCCACAACGCCACAGTTACCAAAACATCGGCCAGTGTAAAGGCCATTTTGGTTGTGTGTCAAGAACCTTATTTTCCTAAGTTAGGCCACACTGACTTAATTTTATGGATGACATCCGCGCGCGTATTGATTTTGGCCTGTCCTCAAAAAAAAAAGAAAAAAAAGATCACGTCCACCGAGGCTCTAGCCTGGCTCTAGGCCTGGTAGTCCATGGTAGTCAGCGACAATACGGAGCCGGGCACCCAGGCTACCAAAGCTCCACGACTCAAGAACTCAGTACATACGTACAGTGCCGATTGATCAATTCTGAAAAAAAGCCAGCATGTGCCGGATTGTCGTATACGTATATATGTCGTCTTGCCGCAAATTCACAATACCAGCTATGTATTCCTGTGGTTTAGTAGCATTTTTATTTTTGGCCGGAATTTTTTTTTATTCGCCCCCGTGCACTAGTTTGGGGGTCTTCAGAGGATATAGCCTCATAGCCACAACCATTCCACATCAGTTTTGCTATGGTAAACACTGGCAAAAAAACAGTAACAGTTAGCACATACAAATGTATGTGCCACCGGTGACATACATTATCTTGTAGAGGCTAAGATACATACTAGTATTTCAAACACTATAGTGAATACACGTGCTACCAACTCTCTATTTGGTTACAGGATTAGGCAGCAGAGAGAAGGTGAAGTCTATGAAACTTACCCTTGAAACTCTACGTAGTTTGGCCGCTGCCAGAGCCTGTGCCAGTCCCCCTGCCCCTCCACCTAGAGGTGTGTTGGGAGCCAGGTTGGGAGGTGGGGGAGGGGGAGGGGGTGGGGGACCACCAGTCTTGGGGGGCGGTGGTGGGCCGGGAGGAGGAGGGGGTGCCCCTCCCGCAGCAGGCTGGGTGGGTGGGGTTGGAGGGGCTGGTGGTGCCGGAGGGGCAGGGGGAGGGGCTGGTGTGGTGGGGGCTTGAGGTGGGGTGGGAGGGGTGGGGGCAGCTGGGGCTGGGGATTGACTCTGGACTGGTCCTGTGGTGAGACAGAGCATCTCAGTTAGTCAGGAACCATACACTATGAATTATGTATATCTGTTACCAACAATAACACACTCTCAAACCTACATACCTGCTACTTCTAAAACCATCTTGTCAAACAGCTTCTTCGTACAAACTGGACAGTTTTATGATGGATTTGCTACATGTACATTTAGGCAGTAAACAAGTCGCTTCTTTGACACATGACCCCATATCCTAGATGGCATAAATACCAGCATGGTTTAATCATAGCGTCATGTCACATGTTTCACTGCTGTGCCTGGTTACTGACCAAGGTAAGGGGACAAGGACACTTGGAGTCACCTTACTATCATCATATCATGGTAACATTGTACAGCCAATAGATGAATATTTGCATCATTTTCGGACAAAGTTTCTAAGGCACCGTTTGAAGATATTCAATATTCCAGTCGTGTTTACGACATTGAACATGAGATAATATATCAAAACAAGTATCTCTGCCAAAATATGCCTGGAAATAGTATCATAAAGAAGACTTTGTCATGTGACAATATAACAATCTGTTTATAAGGCATTGTGTCACATAGTCACTTTTATAGGACACATTGCGACAGACTGAACTCCTATCCTGGCCAATGCCTAGTGAAAAATCTTCTTGTACAGATTCAAATAAACTGCATCTGACTCAAAGTTATGTAACTTGAATGAGGACACACTGAATTTTTTTCCACAGAACAGACAAGTCAACATCGTACATTATTGTAAAAGCAGTTAAACTGTGGCTAGTTCTATATACAACTACATAGGGTGGCATTTCTAAAAGAACACAGCCAACTTGCATATCTGTGATGAATCAGTGACTGCTACAGTGTCTGTCACATGAGTCATGAATAACCTGGCCTTGACTTTGGCTGGCATCCAGGAAACTCAACTTCACAAAAGAGGCTGACATTGATTACAATCCACTGATTTCAATCCACTGATTTCAATGTCATTGACTTTTTTAAAGCTATTCTATTTTTAGTACCAAGTTCTACATCATCCTAATCTTGATCATATTAGGACTTAACCAGTTACTAATAGGACAAGATACTAGCATCAAGTAGTAAACCTGAGGCAAACTAGAAGAAAAATGGGAGGAAGAAACAATCATCCTAAATCTGTCCAGTCATAGGTTATCAGCACCAGGGGAAGGTAATAAGACCTGATGTAATGATGCATCTAATTGGTTGGACCTCCTTCACCTCTGCCCTATCACAGCCCTTCTCTGACATTTTCAGTACTGTAACACCAGGGTGGTCACTGGGGTCAGGTCAGGACCTTTCATAGGTACCAGTTAACCTCTTACAAGAAGTCCATAAATTATCATCCTGCTTTCTCACTAGTTACCCCATACATGTACATTGAAGGAAAAGACTTAGCAGTTTTTTAAAACATCAATAAGGGTGATAGCAGCAGAAATGATGTAAATTCGGTTAATTTCAGACAGGAGGATTTTGCAGAGTTACATTTTTATGAGTTCAAGGTTTAAACAGTATTCCATACTATGGTTTAACATAATGTAAATGCATAATTGCAGTGTCATGAATTTGCAGTGAAGATGTCAATAAGAAAACCTCAAAGATAAAACCACACCAAGATAAAATGTATTTGTAGGCACACTCATAGTGCTGTTTTCACTTATGATAACCAGTTTAGTGGGAGTGAGAACTGAAGGAAAGATGATATGGGCTCATAATGTCAAAGTGATCCGCATGACCTTCCCCTGCCATGGGTCACCTTGTGCACACTAACTTGTATTGGTTACAGCTGAACTCAGCAGGTGGAAGGTTAAAGAACATTTACCAAGTTAGTCACAGACAAAATAGCATTGACACTCCTACTACAAAGTCAAGCACGCCAGCATGTGCATGGCAAGTGGAGAAACATTTACTTGAAAACGGGGAAAAAAGGCTCTTCTTTCTACTGGGTTAAGTCTAAAAGTTTATGCCTCCAGCCTACTGCATACTGTAAATCACTTTATGTTCGCAGTAATAAAAATTCACGGACATGTTCGCTGAACGATATGTTTGCAGTGGCGGCAGGTGCAGCAAAAAGACAGTCGGCGAATTATTAGTTCATGGTAATGATAAGTCTGCGGTACAGAAGTGACTGCGAAAACTGCGAGTATAAATTTTAAAGTACCATGAAAAAAATCATGATTTACAGTACTTGAAGGATGAACGGACCAGGAGATTGTGTTTACCTGTAGGTTGTGAGGTGGCTGGCGACCACTCCCCTGCCTGTGGCCCTTTCTCCCGCTCCCGTTCTCGTGCCCGCTCCTGTTCCATCAGCTCCCGCGCCCGGTTAATCTGTGCCGCCATCTGCTGCTCACGCATTTGCTGTTCTCGCTGTTGTCTGCGGAGAGGAAGCACGAAAGAGAAGTTTTATTCCTGATGATAAAAACATCTCTCGCTCTGTCCAAACTAGACAGAACTAAAACAGATATCCCTGAACAGTTTACCTTTTGCGTTGTAGCCTTAGACAAGACCATCAAGGTTTCCTGATGAACTCAAGATTAACGAGCAAAGGAGTTTTGAGAAAAGCAGAAGTTGACAAATTAAGCAGAAGTACTGAATCAGATGTAATCAAGAACAGACACAGACACTAAAAAAACACGTAAAATACTGGTGCATATATAGCACAGATTCAGCGAGTACACATGTACATGTATCACACTTACCTCTTCTAACAACTTGTGTATCGCATGTGTCCTCTATCCAGTTATTCTATCCATCACTGACAATAAATATATTGAGAAATCTAATATCCCTGAATGGAGTAGAATATGTACTGTTGCACAAACAACTTCTTCTTAACGAAATAGAGGCAACAACTATCATCATTGAAACTACACATATTATCATGTAGAAGATGACTGGCAGAATATCAAAGAAAAACTACTTTGAACTTGTCAAAAGAGTTGGCAACCTCCTCCACACCAGAGAACCAGTCCATTCTCTCAACTCCAAAGTTAGAACAAGAAAATTCAAATTCATCCGTGTCAATAGAAAGTGGGAGTGTGACCTGCAAGAAATATTAAAGACCTTAAAGTCAGCATACAGAGGTTGTCCAAGGCAAAGGTACAATGATAAACACTAGCCTATATTCTCCTCCAGAAATACAACAATCAGATGTTTCACCTGTTTTTCAGGATGGTGGAAATGATAGCCTCCACTTCTTGAATGGCATCCTGGATTTCATCGGAGTGATTAACCACCTCCATGTTCATTCTGCCTTCAGTGTCTTTTTACAAAGCAAAGCAAAACAAAACTCAATTCTTTAACTTGCAGAATGTATCTCTGTCAGGAGGCAGACAAAGGAGTCTACAAGTTCAAGCAGCAGACAGGAATTACGAAGGCTCAGCAGGCAGCAACTGTGAGTGACCGCACTGTTATAATGAGGCACTGTAGTGTCCAGCTAAACACGTGCCCAGGTCTCCAATATCTGCCGACTTTGTGTTGCAATGGGATGTTTTCTTCTGTCTAGCACTCCAATAGACAAGACTGACAAAACAGATGTGCATCACTCTATCTCCAGACAAGGTGCTCCTTCAGAAGATGCTCCTCCACGTGATGTTTTACCACAGTTAATGTCCCCACTATAGTCCAGCAGGACCCGGTAGCAAACTGGTGGTTATTGTTACTTCCAGCGGAGGGTGTCCAGGTGGCAGGAAGGTGGAGGTTATGTCAGCAGCATCTCAGGACAGGTCAAGGAGGTCGTGAGAATCCTGGTCCCTGGTCCCACCAGTTCCCACAAAGAGCAGGAAACCTATAGCAAACCTAATATGCTAGAAACACTTACTGAAGGGTCTGAGAGGACTGGACTGTAGGCCACATGTACACGTAGAGGTATTAATTACCTCCACCCCTGAGGCATCACCAAAAAATCTTTATCCAAAAACTTACAGAACTTGCTCTGAAAGCAAAACCAAACATTTTCCTGAGGAACGACAATGTCTCCAAAGTTTGGTAAGAGTTTCAAATACTGCCTTCCCCCATACAGAGCCTCTTCCTGCTGCCCCAGTGAAGTGTGACCAGATGAAGAGGTACCAATCCTCCAGGTCCTGGTGGGCTAACTTCCATCCTGTACCCTGGGGGAAGGCCTGGCCTGATGGCTTATTGGATGTGGGTCAAGTGACAAGTCAAAAGAAGGCAGGATCTAGGATCTTTCTAATGCTGGAATGCATTAGTAGGGAGGAATGAAGCTGTGACAGTTGGACATTGGGCATTGACGTGAAGTCAGAAAGTTGTACCATAGTAGGCAAGGCAAATGTGGCAAACAGTAGTCAACTAACAGAGTTAATGTTGTACCACATTTGTGAGTGCAAAATCATCTGTTAAACAGGACCAAAACAAGACATATCAATATTCGTCATACCTGTATATTGCCATTATCCTGTTTTTGTAGCAATTCTTAGACTAGTTAGAGCTAAATCGGTTTTACTTTCATCAGGAAATTACATGTACACAATACACCTGTCAACGACAGGCATCAAATCCTTAGACCTTAATCCTCATCATTTCCTTAGACCTTAGCCCATCCTGTGCATCAAATATCACTTACATTGGAACAGAAAAACAATGACTCCTACATGTACATTTACTATCAATTTCACTTTCAATTTTATTGTAAAAATTGAGATGGCAGAAGTAGATGAATCACCTGAATCAGCCTTGGAAATAGACTAGTCACTATATGAACTGGAATGGCCTGTCAGCTACCTAAAAGGCTAAATAGAAACCATGCCAGTAGTAGTAATGGCTCTGGTTCTACAAACTGATCAAATCTTCTGGGTGTCAAAGGGGGAATAGACAAAGAAAGGCAAGGTCGTATTTTAAAGATCCAGACTGCAACTACTGTCTTTTGATTTATACTTTTTTCAAAGGAAAGCCAACAAATAAGTGAAGGAACGACTGGGCTGATAACTTATGATAAATAAGGGGCTTTGGACTAATTCATTTCTGCCTTTCTAATATTTCCTATTCAACTAATGTTAAAAAGTTACCACACTCTACAGACAACCTTGTACTCGTCCCTGCACCAAATATGTATAGTAGTATATTGTATAATGGTATGTGCTGGCCTGAACTTACATGTACATGTAGAGTTACTTGAGGACAATCAACTAGAACAAATTTTGAGGTCTGCATCTCTGCACCAAGTCTTATTTTAGTATCTAATCAACTCATCTACAGTCTGGGTGGAAAGACAGCATTTTTTCAGTTCCTGTATTTTGCATCAACTCAGGAAATGACTGTGCAAGTTCAGAAGTACCCAGACTTCCTGGTTTTCCCTGCTGCTTACACTGCTGGAGTGAGAAGTGGCGCGGCCCGGCCCAGGTGGACCCTGGGAAGGTGTCGACAATGTACCACACCTGCCAGGGCTGTAACACCTCAACAATACCATCCACATTCCGCAGCACACTTACTCATGGCTTTGGCCTGGCAGCACGGCTTATCTCCACACAGTTATCTGGGGAAAAACGCTCCATACTGACAGAACTTGAACTTAGTTGAAGACCACTGGGAAGTCATTTGCAAGATATGTAAGACCCTTGCATACATCTCTGACTCATTTGACAGTTATCAATGTCAAAGCTGGCCTTGTGGCTGGAAGAGGAGGAAGACCATTGAATTCCTAAATAGATTAACAAACCTTCTACATACGTTATACCAATGCCTATTAATAGAAAGAGTTTGGGTTATAAGATACATTTGTAGCTATCTTTAGAACGAATCATTACACAAGGTGAACTACTAATCCTGATGAAGCTGAAATAAGAAACAATTCTAGGTAAGTGTTATGAGGGCACCACCTGACCCAAATCACATTCCTTTCACTTCCTCTCCATAATCGTGGTCTTGTAGAATTCCTTACTGCAGTAACATGCCTTCTTGGTGATACACAAATCCCAAAGATTCCCTCACATGTTATTTACACAGATGTACTGTAACCTACATGTACTTCTATCCCACTTTCCCTGATGTTTTCTGCTGAAGATATAGCATTTATTGATAAAACATCTGATATTCGAGTTTTTCTCTGGAGAAGAATTACATTTTAAGGCATTAATTATCAAAAAGGATCGTTGATTAGAATCAGTCACAGCAAGTATTAACAAGGCACATTCTTCTGAAGTACTTCTCATGTCATGTAAGACAGACTTGGACATATATGCACAATCTGTCTATCAACACATGCAGGACAAAATACTCCTTTCTGACACCTTTAACCTTCTGGCCAAATGGACCCCATCCAGGAAAGGCACATGTTTGATGTAAATAGAGAAACTGTATGGCAACTGCTGGGGCATGACTGAAACCTTGGTGCTGTGGTCTCTGGCTGTACTGCAATGTTGCAAGTATGAGAAACAGCCCCGAAAGGGATAGTCTCTGCCACTATAACCGATTCCATTTGCCATCCAGTTGGAAACCTTCGTCCAGACATTAGGACTAAGTACCAGAAAGCAAGGGAAGCAAGCAGTCTTGAATCGCTGCCAGACAAAGGGCACTGTCTAGGGCTTGTTTCCTGGTGGTGGATGTGTAGACCCTCTAACAGCATCAAGTTCTTTCCCAAAGTAGGTTCTGAAAAGAGAAACAAGTTAAGACGTTCAGAGCTCCCTGGCAGCTCACCTGAGGGCGTATATTGATGTGATCTTGGTTTCGCCATTCTTGCCGTCTCCTTTGCCTTCCCAGAAAGCTCGGAGGTTGTTCATCTCGGATCAGACAATAACTAGGCGGTCATGAATACTAGCAGCGCAGGGGTGAAAGCAGCTGGAGGTCTGCAATACACACAGTCCGGCTGCCGGATCACATGTGATGGTGCCGTACGCAGGGTGGAGGAAGTGGTCATGATTGTGGAATTTCCTTGTTTTACTGTTACGTGAACTGTTGGAGCACAGGAATTAGACGGAGTACAAGACAGGCATGCCTCTGTTTACAGAGTCAGGTATCTGCAGGCAAGGCATCCTGGGACGTCACGCGCCCCACATTTTGGCAGGTTTCGTGCCGTGTGTCTGTAGACATCTGCATTCTGGCAACCCTCGTCTCTGCACCCTTGTCTCCTGTCTCAACACTGCCTGTTGACCCTGCATCTGTCCACACACAGTTTCTGTATCCACTGCTGGTCTGACAGTCAGCAGCTCCTCACCACATTCAGCCAAAGTTGTCTTTCTTGAGTCTGCTACCCCAGGTACTTACAGATAATTAGCTTAGGCTACTGGTATTTCTCAATTTTGTTTTTTCCAACAAGTTCTTCTGAAAATCTGCCTCATCTTAAAAAAACAGAATCAATTTGCCAACATTTTCTGGCAAATTTCCCATCATTCTCCAAGAATTTGTTTACGTGGGGGTGAAAACTGCATCAAAATGTTTCGTATAAAAACAGGTTAATTTGATTCGTGGAGAAGTCTGGAACAGAGAAGGAATTCCAAGGCCAAACTATGGGCACAACAGAACAGAAAGGCATTTACATGTGGCTGTAAGAGTGCAGTTTTGGGTCTTAACCTGTTACTTGTTTGATTTCCCTTGACATTGCTAATGACCCCTATGACGCCATGGCAGAGGTGCGATCCTCCACTCTTTGCTCTCAAACATCTCCGGAATGTGCTTCCGTACAACCCTTCAAAAACAGCGGGTCTCCACAGCAGATCAGAACCTTCCCTTCTAAATAAGCAGAAGCACGGCCACTCTTCAATCTGTACTGACGTCCTTTCCTGGTAATTTGTCTTAGCCACGACTTCCTTCCCATTTCTACAAAAACTACCAGACTACCTCAAGTGCATAAGTCACTTACCTACAATCAACAAAACACATCGGAACCCAAATTCAGAACAGATATTCAAACCACTAACAATCAAAGAAGCGGCCATAACACATTATCCACAAACAGAAAATTACACACTTTACAGACTTTTATTTCCTTAACATATGACCATTTTTCAACATATCCTCAACAGATTGCCTGCCAGGTATCAATACTGAGTACTACACATTCAACCTAAATTGTGGTAAAATGAAAAATCATCTTACATCAGAATTGAGTCATTATACTCATGACGTAATGACTGCTTTAATGAAACTTGTCTTCTGTAAACTTCTGGGAGTTTTTTTATTGAAAATGTACAGTTGTACAACATCAAAATATGTACTTTTGCTGTATGAAAACTGACATAAGTTACACCTGGTGGGTTCTGTGGCTAACTGGAAACAAGAGCTATCGTTTGGGACATACACACATAACTTCTATCAGGCTTGTAGAAATGTGCAACAAACACACTGGATGGACAGGAACACAGTACAGCTGTCCTATATTCCTTTACTTCCAGGAGAAAGCAGTCACAAATTTTGTAGAAAAACAAATGTTCTTGACAAGTGTGGCACACTATACTTCCTCCTACTGTAAACAACCTGGCTGCTACTCAGGAAATCTGCACATGGGAAAGGGGTATATGTCTCTAACCAACTGGAAGGTCGACTGAGGAACTGGAAAGAAAGTAGGATATACTTTACCTGACAATTTCCTGTTGTTCTTGTGTCACATCATAAGGAAAACCAAATGGTATATAATATAATCAGAATGATGTGTTGTAGTGGTTAACTTGTTTCTATTAATGCTTATTCCAATGAAGACTTACCTTGCTTTGTAGCTTCACAACTTTGTGCTGCCCTAGCTGTTGTAAAACTATGACAATTTCTAATTACACATTGTAGTACTTTGTTTCTATAAAATACTTGATCTACGAACTACATGAATAGCACACAGACTCACAATACACCAATCACAGACAGGTGTGAAGGTGAAAAATTCCTTTGTTCTTGAGGCATCGCCAAAAATCCGAGTACATTTTGTAACAGAGAGCCTTTCCTTGGTGGTACAATGTGCAGGTTCTGACAATGGGATGGATGGAGGTCACCTGACACTGAGACCAGGAGATGGTACAGACAGACGTTACCTGACTCACCACACCATGATGGGATGGAGGGACACGACGACACAGAAGATTTAGAAAAGAGAGCTTACGGGTACGGACTGATCGCCTGATCATCTTGTCCCCACCTGATCCTGTCCTCCTCCTCGATGGATGGTCCGTTGACATTTTGGAACTGTCCCTGCATCTGCTGCTGGTTCGGGTAGGACTGGTACTGGGCTGAGGACGCCGGGGGAGCGCCTGACGTCTGGCTGGGGGGCCGGGGACCTGGGGAGGGAGAGAGACAGACAGGTGTTAAGCACTATGGCGCTTGTAGGACTGGGAGACAGACAGGTGTCAGACACTATGGTCTTGACTGTTGGTTCTGGTACACCTGGTAGGATTGGGATAGAAACAGACAGGTGTCAGACACTACGGATGGTACAGCTGGGAGAGAAGCAGACAGGTGTTAGGCACTATGGTCCTGACTGATGGTTCTGGTACACCTGGTAGCTATATATAGGATTGGGGGAGAAACAGACAGGTGTCAGACACTATGGTCCTGACTGATGGTTCTGGTACACCTGGTAGCTATATATATAGGATTAGGGGAGAAACAGACAGGTGTCAGACACTATGGCTGGTACAGCTGGGAGAGAAACAGACAGGTGTTAGGCACTGACGGACTTGTCATAGAAAAATTCCCAAAATATCTTATTGTAAAGGGAGCTACCTAAAGCTAAGGGCAAGTTTCAATGTTCTTTCTCATGTGAAATTTTAGTTGACACTATCCTTTAGTCACTTAACATATAGGGATTTTTGAGGTTCATTAAAACTTCGATCATTCTTAGATAAAGCTGAGAGTATCTTGACTTCAGTACAAGACTATCCTATTAACATCAAAAGGAAAGAAGCATCTGAAACATCTCTATAAAAGGATGGTCCTGTTTACACAAGGGGTGACAGTGTCCCCTAAATAGACCCTGCATGCTTTTCTAACACCTCCCCCTTGCCAGGAATATAATTGTTTACTCAACGTCACTTCGAGAACAGCCATTCGTGATAAATAACTGTCGACTTTTTTTTAGGATAAAGCATGTCCCGTATTCACACTCGGTAAATCCAAACTTGACAAAGACAACTTACATGTATGAAATCTATAGAGAGTGTCAACTAAATGTTTTGTTATTAATCTTAATTCCTCTAATGGGTCATAGTATTATATTGATGATAATAATAATAAGGGATATGGTAAATGTAACCTAAATGTACATGGTTCTACCTACAATATAGGGACAAATATATCTCTGAGAGTCTGATAAATCAACCGGTGTCCTGGTATCATAACCTTTACCACTTGAGCATGATATCAATAATCCCTTGCATAGATCAACTGTCATGCTGATTAGACTTGTTACTAAGTACATTGTGAAAGTCCATTGTGAAAGCCAAAGTTTACAATGAAAGTAAAATACATTCACTCAATTTGTTGCTCACAACACACATCACAGTAACACTAGTACTACATTTTTTTAATGATGGATGGATACAATGCAAAACATTGATTTTTACACAAGTATATTTTACTTCATCCCTGCTCCTTTCATCTACCTTCCTGTAGTATCATCTGTCTAACTAAATATGCCCTGACCACACTACTAAACAGGACAGTACATGTCAAACATCATAGAATCATCTGGTGGGACCATCAACTCAGATGACCCAGACATGGTCCTCTCCATACATGACACCCTAGCACCAATAAACAAGTCTATGACCCCAATGTGGCTCTACAAATGGCCCCAGGCGAAACCTGAACCTGAAGCTATGCCATGTCCCTTTTCACACCAGAGGTTTATGCAGCAAAGGGAGCGGGGTCAAAACAAATTCTCCAACAAAGGGAAGAGTCTTGTATGACTTTTCCTGAAGAGTTTGAAGCGGTCGAAACGTAAACCCAACTGTTGCCTTTATAAAAAATTTCTAAGATACACATCCTCAGTAGAAACCTTTTACAAGTCAGTAGACTGACCAAAAATAAAAGACAATTAGAAAGATAAGATGTCAATGGTGATAGCCTTAGCAGCCAACAGCTCTAAGAAGACAGGATTCTCCTGGCATGTTATACTTCATTCCTTCTCAGTGTTCTGCCACCATTGATTAGTCTGGAGGCCCCTATCTATGAAAGACAGTTCTATCCGATAAATCACCAAGACAACAGGTGGATGTGGTATAATCTTACTTGCTGGGGCCAGAACTATGGTGGCAGTGGATCGCATCCTTGTCCCTGATTCTGCAGTCACTGGCATTGTTCCCTACTACTCAGGACTTCAGCTGGCACCATCTAGAGAGGAACACTTAAGTGTCTGTCCGCATAATTGATACCCGCTACGTAACAGGATATTTAAACAGGGACGGCACACTCGCATCTGGGTGGCAATACTGGTGGGCCCCCTCCTCGGCGATGGAGAAAATAGAAGGAATAGTTGCCTTAGCAGGCATGTAGACAGGAAAAATAAAGTCCCAAAGTACCAGGGATAGTAAGCAAGCTTTACTGTGTGACTTGGCACGGTGAGAGGGTCTGGTGACTCAAGGGGATCATGAACTAGACAATGAGTCTTGCTGTATTGAATTGCAATCTGAAATGTCACATGTTGAACCTGTTCAAAAGAAATCCTTCCACATGACTTTCCTACAGATTATGTGATCACAGCATTAAAATGCAGGGTCTAGTGCCTTTTCACTCTCTTTCTGTCTCTTCGTCTCTTTCTTTGTCTCTCTCTTAGACTTTGTCTCTCTCTTTCCTTGTGCCTTATCCGCCTTCTTTATTTCTTTTTACCTTCATAACATTTAGTCTCACAACACAGACAGTCTGGCCTTCTAGCTTCTACAATTACTGGCTCTTGGACAATCTATAATTAAATGATGGGACAGTGTCTTGTCCTACCCTGTGAAGTTATTAAGTCATAACGTATAAAAATATTAAAATATAAGAGAAGTCCTCCTCCTTGGAGCATGTGAAACAGTTGGTGAAACAATGGGAAGGACATGTTACAAGTGTTCAAATAGTTAATGACCAATATCTTCATTGCAACAGAGTATGACTGCAGTGATCTTTGAACTGGTGACATGCACATATTTGACCATGACCTTGCTCAGTGTTATTTACGTCATCCGAGGCCGCGTCAACTGCCCATATCAGACATGTAAGCCTGGGTTTAAGTTTTCTCCACCCAAGATTAGGATGAAACGTACTTAACTTGAGCCTTCCGCTCAACATGACCTTGTAGTAGTCACTTTAAGCCTTATACACTGTATTCTCCTGCAGTTCTGCTGCTATCTGCTAGGAGAGGACCAGTGGTTGGTATGACTAAAACCAAACCTGTCAGTCAGTCCTATTTTCAGTTAAAAGGGTGGCCAGAGCTCTTTCATGGGAGAGAAAAATGATAAAACTGGAGCACAAAAATTTTACTACTTTATGACACAAAATAATTCAACTGACAGGATAAACCTTCTGAAGACTCAGACGTTTCAGAGAGCATCTACTAATCATTCTCATCTGTAATTATTCTTATTTATCCAGTTGATTGATTAATTTTGTATTACACAATGTTCTATCTGGATGTCTAACCTTCATCTACTGTTTGCACTGTGCAGGTGACACAAAAAGACTGGGTGCTAGATTTACAGTAAGACAAAGAAGACATACATAGACTGACGGATACAACTCCCATACCTCACATACTTCCTCCTCAAGTCCATGACCAACATAAACACACAGAAACATCCAGGTTGGAAAACTCTGTGGTAGAAAGACATGGATGGTCGAGAAGGTTTCTGAGTCAAAATAGTTTAAAGCTCAAATGTTGGACAATGTTCAGAAAAGTGTTTGTGTTGGAATGTTTGTACTGTTATTTATGGTTATGTCATGATCCCATATGGCAGAAAACTCCCTGTGTTTTTTCTATTCCTCCTTCTTCTACTTTTAGTTAGAATACCAATTAAATGGAAACCTGGTGAGACATTCTATAAGCCATTTTTCATTTTTCTCATCGTTTAGTAATCTGTCATTTTAAAGGACCATAGAACACTGTTGCATGGTTTTCAGTTTCTGACAAACTAAATTTTAGTTCTGGAATATATTTCATGAGGTTTCTCTGCTTAAAGGCAATAAAAAAATTAGAACCATGTTACACCAAAATTCTAAATACTTTTAAGACTAATGTCTGACTATTGATCTAACACAAACTTTTCTTTTCAAATGAAATTTGGCATGAAAACAGAAATGGATTGTAGACTCAACAGTGGCACTGGTTGCTGAACTTGCCAAATACTTGGTCTGAGCCACTGGAACATATCACAATGTTCCCCAAAACATTGGGACCAAGTTACTGTAAATCACTTTGTATTCACTGTAGCAAAATTTCATGATCTGAGGAAAAGAGACCAGGTTTTACGTACTGTACAAAAAAGTCTTCCAGCATTTGAAAAGTGACTTTCAAATGTTGCTGTTCAGTACATTATCCCTGTGGTATGTTCCACACTTTAACCAAAACAGGCAGGGATATAAAATCTGATGTATCTCCATAAATGTGTGTGGGGTCTAACAAGAACAGCTCCACAGAGTACATGGTAATTGACATACTGGAACACTTCAAAACCTATTCCGTAAGCTGGACTTAGAAGTCATACAAACACCTTCTTAGGCCTGCATTCCCTCAATTCTCGGTGGAAGGATTTTCTTTGCGTTGTTAACAGGGCCATTTCCTGGAAAGCTTTCGTGTTATAACCACAAGTCCTCATAAAAGGAACCTTCTGCACGCGCACAAGATATCATCAGAGAAATTCAAACTAAAAACAGGTAGCACCAACTGTCCATGTTGGACTGATATAACACTTTAGCATAACACACCAGGCATGTGGCATGGCAGTGGCTGGTTATATTACACTGAACGACCTGTTACAACTAACATTTGCACATGTATTCTCAACATATACTGAAGACTTTCAGCAATCTTTACCTGATCCCTGTTGACTCAATGTCTCTAGCGCTTTCAGCATGGAGCCGGCGAAGACGTCTGCGTCCTCTTTGCTTCCAAAGTTGAGACCGTAGACCTGCCGTGCGTCGCGCCATTGGTGGAAGGTGGGGGTCGCCTGGTTGTACTTGAGTCCCTTCAGTATTGCACAGTTTATCACAACCTGGATGGACAAGATAGGAATGATTATAGAACAAACAGATGTACTAATATCAAAATTCATGATCATAAGGCGGCAAGGTCTACCAATCTTGTGCTTAGGATTGTTGAATCA